TAGGATCTTTTCCCAAAATGTAAAAAGATATTTTTAATAATTTTTATCATTCACTTCTCTTGCCTACTGTGAACTTTGGCATTAATTATTAATAATAATTTTACATTTGGTGACGATCGACAGGAAACCTAAATTTTTGTTGTTTCAAAATTTTGTACCCCATTAGGTTGTGCAAATCGGCGGATATGAATTGCTGTAATCATTGTCACTGCACAATTTTAATTCAATATTAGTATTAGTATAAAAAGGGCCCCATTAGTTGATTTTTGTTTATATATTAGCTGAAATCTTTCTTGGATGGGAGGGATTATGTGACTCTAATGATCACCAAATATGACTAATTTGAAGAAAAATTGATGGTCCAATGTCAATTGATATCTTTAATTAATTAGCTTTGAGCAAATGAAAGTAGAAGTCTTATGGGAAAGTATTGATTTTGATCAAATTAGCCATTAACTGTCAAAATTTCTTTAAAAGCAGATCACTATTATTTGAGAGCTCAGAGCACAATTGAAGCTTTTGTTGTCAAATTGAAGAAGTGTAAAAACAATGTGAATATCAACAAAGACTTGAAGGAATTAGGTATGGTGGCTCAGTTATTGAAGGAAATAAATTAGAAACTAATATATGATGAATGAAAAATTGAACTATGTATATATTTTAAAAAGAATTAAATTATAAAATTATATATATATCCAATGTGCACCTATTAATTCTTCATTAATTTGTTTCTGGATTTTCTAATGATTCACCAAATTTTATTTTGACAAAGAAAATTTTTATATAAAAACTATATAGATCCAAAATTATTTGAGATCCATTACATTTGGTGGAACTTTTGATAAGATTATATGACTTATTAAAAAAATATCAATATCTAGGATTTTTATATTGAATAATTTGGATTGAATTAATATGTGTTATAAAAAAAATAATTTAATGTAACTTTTGAATATGAAATTAACTAGAAGAGTTTTTTTTACTTAATAGTTCATATATATGAGTAGAACTTCATTTTTTAAATTTAATTCATCATCTTTAAGCAATGAACTTGATTGTGATATTACTTCAATTGCTAAGATATCCAGAAGTTCAAGGTGAATTTTTTCTTTTCTCATTAACTATAATTCCTCCAAAAAGAATAATAATTATTAATATTTTTATATTATTAATCTTGAGTCATCTAAACCTGACCAATTCTATGTAATATTTTTGAAGACTATCACATGGACACATAGAGCACCTGGAATTTTATATTATATGTTCTTGGCAAATTTTATCCCTTAAACAGTTTTTCAGTTATATTGATAGCTGAAATTTTTTTCTGTTATAAAAAACTCTTTTTCTGAGAGTATCACTTCCTAATATGAAAATAATCATTGAGATTCAGTTGATTGATCTGTAAATAAAAATTTGGTTATTGTCCTTGTGGTTTTTGTAAAATCTTCTGTTTTACTTTGCAGATCGTCAAATTTATCAATAAGAATGCAAGCTCGTGATCAAAAAATTATTGTGTAGATAATCTTTTTGCTCGCAATATGATTGGTCAAAAACGAAGATCATCACCAAATGGCACTCAGCCACCTGGTAGGGGTGATTTTGTGTGCGATATTTCCTTTTTTAGTGTGTTATTAAAGCCTCCACTAGCCCAATGTTGTTCTAATGGAAATTATTGGAACCATAAATGGCACATTCCAATAAATTCCAATTGGAATTAGAATGTTCTAATGTGATTCCAATGAAGCTAACCAATGAAATTTAATTATATACAATCCCACACAAATAAACTTCATTTGTCAATACCATTGAAAACCACATTGGAGCTAAGGCTCCACATGAGCCAGCTCACTAAGCCAGCTTGTAAGGAGCTTTAATTGGAACATTCCAATAGTGTCACAATGTCCTGATTTTACAACACTGCCTTATCCAGTAACATCAGGAAATTTTAATATATATTTTACCTAGTCTACATGCCAGGAACATCTAATATAAGTTTCTGAGGTTCTATTCAAACTCCTCATATTTTTATATGGGGCACACTGCAACAATCCAGACAAAGTGAACATTGGTATTACTAAGAATTTTGGGGATCAAAATTTAGTCATTTGTAACGTGATCATAATTGACAGTTTTATAATATCCCATTTGTTATAATAGACTTACATCCCTATATAAAAATAGTTAATATGAAACTCATTTACATCAGATCTACTATGGAGCCCAAGAATTATAGTACTATCAGAAGTATTTTGAAGAAAGAACAAGGTGAAAAAATTGCTCCTTATATTTTCAAAATAAATGATACTCAGACACTGGAAGCTTATCTAAGAAAAGAAAGGATTACTTATGAAATTTACCAAGAAGAAAGAAAAACAATAAGTGTTAAAAAAAGAAAGCATCATGATGATGCATTATTACCTAATAAAAAGCAAAAATCTTTAAAAGGAAAATAACTACCATTTTCTTTGATAGTTGGAATTTATACAGAATCTTCTTTAAACTACTTTCTCATTTTCAATCAAGATCATCTTTTTAGTCTCTTTAACTTCAATTTGAGCAATTTGACCATTCTGTTGTTCTTTTAATTTCCTGTTTTTCTCTTCTAGTTGTTTAATTCTTTCTTCTAAACCCTTTACCTTATCTAATAATTCCTGTTTTTGCTTTTTACTTCACTCTTCAGATTTTTCCTGAAACTTCGCTATTTCCTCTCTTTCAATTTCTAATGCTTTTTCAGCAGTGGCTAATTCTTCTTGTAATCCATTTATTTGTCTTACATAAAAAGCAGACTGACTTATTTCCTCACTAGGCAAAAGAGGGAGTTCCTTTTCTTCCATGTCTTCTTCATATCTAATAAAAAACAAACATATTTATCACCATGAACATCAATATAATGTTTAGTTGTAATCTACCACATCTCTCACACTTTTCCAATACATCATTCTTTAGCAACTAACTCTTGGATTTGGCATTATTTGTTTTCCACCAATTGATGGAATTCAGTTTTTAATTTTGTTCTTAATTGTCTAAAGTTGCTTTGCTTTTTAGGTAAAGCAGATAAATCCTTTTCAGCTAAATGCAATTGATTTTGCAATCCTTTGTTTTCTTCTGTGAGATTTTTGTTTTGTGATTTTTTTTCTGAAATTATCTTATTAGACACCTCTACTTTTTCTTTTTCTTGTTTTAGTTCTCATTCTAATTCACCAATTCTTGCATCTTTATTCTCAATTTTAAACTCTTCTTCTTTTTCAGCTAATTGCTTCTTCAATAATTCTATTTCATTTATTATTGTTTTATTTGCTTGTTGTTGTTCATTTATTATGTTTTTCATGATTTACTTGCTTGTTCCTTTTTTTATTTATTTAGTATACTTATATCCTTTTTATAAGGGTACATTAAGTATATAAATTATTTTAGTACTTTTTTTGCTTTAAAAGTGAAAAAAGCTAACAATTTTGTCAAAAGATTAAACTTATTAAAACTTAATGACAGCAAGAGACAAATCAATGAATGGCAAATTCATAGAAATATTTTTATTCTGAATATCTTATTTGTTTCTAGTATAGAATGGTCTTGGTCAAGTAATATCTTTGTATTCATCTTTCACAAATGGACGAATATTCTGGTAAAGATATACTTGCCTTTTGTAATCCAAAGGAGGTGGTGTTAACACTAAAATAGATAAAGCTCTAATTTCTTCAAAAATATCTGCTTACTTGGTTTTCAATAAATTGAACTCAACAAAAGGTCCATTAGCAACTTCTTGAACTTTTACTGTACCAAGATTAGATGCTTCAAAAAGAAAATGTTGGTATTTCCATATACTTGGTAATTTCTTAAAATAAATTCCCAAAATTGCTTTAATATCTAAGTATTGAAAACCTTTTCCTACCTTGTAGCATTGAGCTTTATTCAATCCTGCTGGACTAGATCTTTTCACTACATCAACTACATGGTCCAGACAATCTATCCTTGTCTTTCTATAAAGTTTTTTAATCAGTCCAAAACTACCATCACATTTAAATTTAGTATGTCCAGGAACCATGAAGTTTGTTCAAAACTTTCATAATAACCACAAATTACCAAATATAAATAAAACCAAACAGTCACATTATTTTTATTTTGTCCACCAGCATTATCACAAGTAATCTTTAAATGCTTTTCACATTTATTCAATTTCTTAATTCCATCAAAAATCATGCTAAGAGTGCCATTAGGACCTTTTCCTATAATTTCATTTTCATTAAGAACATAATTAATTTGTTCCCTTACTGCTTCATCTTTGAATACCAAATAAATGAACTTTAACATGGACTGAGATAATAGATTTTACTTACTTGATCAGAATGGGGTACATGAACATTTTGGGCTCAATCATAACTATAATGAGCAATAGCATCAATACTGCAATACTGTGTTTTGCCTTGGGAATAATTTTGATCAACCAGTTTTCTTTGCTCTTCTGCTAATTTGATATTTTTATTATAATCACTTCTTTCTAATTTGGCCTTGGACAGATGTTTTTTAAATCTTTTAAGAAAATCTTTGGCTTCTTCCTCCTGGCGAGCATTGTAATGTAAACCATCTCTAAAATGTTGACAAGTATCACACAAGTAAGTCCTTGGACTCATAATTTGAATTTCTGGTGTCAATTGATGTCATAACTTTCTGAATGAATCATATTTTAAAGATTTCAATTTGCTGTTTTCTTCCAGACCAGCCAGAAAATCTCTATGTACTGATTTATAACCCATTTCAGCTGGTAGAAAAATAACTGATTGTGTTATTCTATTGTTACTTCTTCCTGGGCTTGGTAATCCATGAACTTCAGCATAATTCTCTAGAAAATTCTTTACTACTTCAGCAACACTTTTATCAATCACCATCTTTGTTTTCCATTGAGGCATCCTTTTAATATTACCATGAGTTCTTGGTAGAAGGCCATAGTTTATCAGATAATTTCTAACATTTTCAAAATAAGTTCTACCAATTCCTAGCATTTTGAAATAAGTTTCTTGACAAAGTAGTGTATTGTGATCTCAATGATAGAAAGTTCTTTTGTTAGATCTATTTTTCTTTTTAAAGTGTCTACTGGCACTTACTGTCCCTCCATCCATTGCTTTAATCTGTGCCATTAAAAATATGTCTTGTTCAGACTTGGAAAGTGCTTGAAAGGATTCCTTTAATTCTGCAAATTCATTCTTGGGAATTCTGGAAGAACAACCACAATTACATCCTTTTTCTAAAAAATCAATTGCTTCTTGATATTCATTAGAACCATTATTTTCATTATTAATTTTCATATACCTATAATCCTATATATAATTATTTTAAGTTCACTTTGTAGTTTTTTATAATTTAAAGGCATATCTCTGAAACAACAGATGAGTTGGCATATTATGTAAATCACAAACATTATTAACAAAGCATACAACAAAAAAGTTTAAATGTATTTTTATTTAACTTGATTTAAAAATTGACAAGAGTAAAAGACTAGCACTAATTTCTCTCTAGCTACACAGCAAAATATAAAAGTGTAAAAATAATATTTTTATTTTAAAATATAGAACTTAATAATGTTGTCAAAGGAATTATAAGTGTGAAATTTCAACATGTATGTTAATAATGTCTTTGATAACTATGAATTCATTGTAATACCCAATTCTCCAGAATTAATCCAATATTTCAAAACCAAGAGACTTAAAACCATTTTTTAAAAGTTGGATATCATGTTCTTTTTTAATTGGTGCTCCACCAGTCACACCTTGATGCCATGATACTTCAGAATTAATCAATAATGGATATCTATTGAATTGATTGGTATTCTTTAGAAATAAATGCATACAGAGTAGACTTTAGTCATTCAAAAAAACTTACTTTACATTAGAATCTCTCCCAGACCAATCAAAATCAACAATTCTTAATTCATATTCATCTAAATTTGTTATAGAAATCATCATGTTAATAAGATGTAAATCTCCATGCACATAGTTTTCGTCATGTAAGATTTTGGCAACTTTCATGACTTTTCCCTTAATCTTTTCTTTTTCATTATATTGTAAATTAGAAACATAAGAATCAAGACTTTCAAATTTATCAGGTAGTAAATATTCCATCACAACCATCTTCCAATTATCACAAAGATTTTGGACAGCAAATAATCTTGGTGCCAATTTTTTTTGATAACAAAATTCATGAACTTCTTTACCATAATAATTTTGCACAAATTTGACAACCCACTGTTGGGGTATTTTATTTTCTGTATTATCTTGTTGTATCTCCTCTACTAGAAAAAGAAGCTTTGTCTTATATAATTGCTTTTTATAAATAAGTTGATAATCTTTATTATCACAGCATTTGAAGGAGTGGGGATAAGGAAAATGAGATTGTCATTCAATATCTAGTTGGTCTGGTTGCACTGAATTGTAATAAGTTTTTAGTTCAGCTAACCCAGATTTTAATGCATCAAACATGACAAGGATATTTATGAAGTGATCATGATAGCATAGAATAGGCACCAAAAGGTATCATAGGAGTAAGAGGCTCAATTATAATTTTTTCCCCAAAAACTGCACCAGAGATCCCAAGCCATGGTCCTGCAAGGTGCAAAAGAAAACAAGGATTAAGATATCTCTTACAATTTGGTACCATTGGAAGATATTTTCAATAAGAGCCACAAGCTTGTCTATGTGGATCACCTCCTGATCCAATTTCATTCTTTACTTCTAAGATCAGAAGAGCACATTGACCTCTTCCAACAGTGTATAAAATCGCACCATCTGCAGTACATCCATCTGTAATTGAAAATGGACACATTTCATATCCAAAAAGGTCATTCACCATATTTCGGAAAAGTTTTTTTCATCTTCATTAGAATAAACCTTTGCCAAACGTCCAAGATATTCAATTACTCCATCTTCTCCACCTATTTTATAATTTCCAATATTGACTTCTTTTGCAGAAAGTCTATCTTTGAAATTTCCAAATATGTGATTGTATACAGATATTGGGATGTTTGAACCATTTGGTCGGTAATTGCATATTACATCAGGATCATATTCATGTATTTTACAATAAGTTGATGGTGGTCTCATGCTTATTATTCTTGACCTTTGATTTTTTGTTTGAGTCCATGTGTTTTCTATTGTGAATAGGTTGAAATAACATTACAAAAAAAAAGCAACAAACTGTTAACATATTTCAAAATAGATTTACCTTCAGCTTTACGTTTTACTCCTAAAAATAGTAAGTAGTAAGAAAATGAAAAATTGAGAATAAATAATAGAAATTATTAAGTTTACACATAATGATGTTTACCTTTATTTTTTTCAACAACGCCTTCTGTGGCATCAACAGGAAGTAACAACCAAAAATAAATGAACAGAAACAAAGAAATATAAGTTAATTAAAGTTGTATACAGTATACTAAATGTTCTCTCAAATGAATAAATAAATAAACAAAATGGAATGAACAGAAAATAATTTTTTGTATATTGGTGATTCGCCTATGAACCAGTGAATGACATTTTTTATAATAACTAGAATATTTATCAGCCTTCAATGTATAACCCAACATTTACATTCAAGATCTTTACCTTTCTCCAAATTTTTTAGTTTTTCTTTCAAATCTATAACCTCCAATTCCAACTCCTCAGCCTTCCTTTTCCAACTCTAAAGAGGATGATTGTTTGTGCAGAGAATAAAATTATTTTATGTTGAATTAGTGTTTACAATATTGAATACTAAAATAATAATTTATTGAATAAATACCCATTCATCTTCATTTTCTTTATTTTCACTGATAAAAAAAAAAGTTTATACTAGTGTGATGACGTGTGGCAACGATTGCAATAACCACCATTCTTATGATAAACTAGAGTGACGATGAGTGGCGGGCAATAACCACCACCACCATCCTTAAAACACTTACTCATGTCTTGTTGCTTCTGCAACATTTCTTTCAGCTTTTCTTTTGTTGATGCTTCTTGAAGACATATTTAAGTGTAGAGTGTAGGTAACACGAATTTCACTATGATAATGTTGATAAAAAAAATTACATAACACTCTGAGTTGTTAGCCTCATACATAAGTATTCCAAAAACCAATTTTTGTGAGATGTTTACTATTGCAAAATCCTTTTTCAGAACCTATCCAATCGTATTGTGATAAAATTTTGATGTCTTGTTAGAAGGTTCTTTTAAAAAAACTTGTAAAGTCAAAAGTAGTTTTCCCATCACTTATAAAACATATCAAACCTATAATAAATATAAGAAATAGCTGTAACACACACAATAATAATTGTAATAATATTAAATAAAAGACTAATAATTTGTTAAAATCTTGTCCATTTCTTTGTAATAAATATAAATACCAAAAGAAAATTGCCTATTTTTAATCAAGGTAAGTGATATTAGTTTTATTCGTGTAATTTTGATCATTAAAACATTTAAAAATAGAATTTTTTAAAAACAACTATAGATGAGTTGAGGGATGGTAGTAGAAGTCAATAACAAGATAGCAATATATCTCCACCTACTCTACATACACTATTTGTTCTATATACATATTCTTTGTGGAAGTTATATCAAATTTTTTTTTTACTTTAAACAAAAATGTGGGAGCTTCCTGTAATTTACTTGGTATTTTTGAAATAATTAATATAATTAATATAATTAATACATTATTTTTGTAATATAATTAACTAACATCATAATTTATTTATAAATAAGGAACATGAGAAAATATACAGTTCATTATAAGGTGTGTTTACTAAGATGTTTGTTATAGAGAGAGAAATTAATTAAAAGGGAAGTTCATTATAGAGATTTTACTTAGTGTTCGTTATAGAGAGAATGAACTGTAGCTTTATTTATTTTTTTTGTTTGCTAAAGGATGTCATAGAAGAAAAGGACAATGTTGTATTAAATATTTAATATTAATTATCGTCATTCTTTTACAAATAAAATAAAAATGATTTTTTCTATATATTATTGTATATAATAATAATTTTTAATGATTCGCAGTCAAAAAATTATCTACTTTATCATAGTAAATTTCGTGTTACCTACACTCTACCCTTAACTTGTATATAGCTTGATTATTTATGGCCTCAAAGGTTGTTGAAGCTAAATCAAAAGGATGGAATTATTTATATTATTTATTAATAGCTTGATCATTTTAGAATTATTTTATTATAATTTATTTTAATGTGTGACATAAGAAAATGATTGTCACTGTAAAAAATTTATCCTTTCAGTTGTTATGAAAAATCACATGACTACACTCTACCCTTAAGAGGGTAACAAATGGGGACTGGACCAACAAAAGACGGTTCTGGGCTGATTGGCTCAAAATTAAAATTTCAATTGCATGTTACTCTATAACAAAGGGACTATATTTGGGGAAATTTTTAGACCATATTCATTTAGTACAAAAATGAGTTATAAAGCTCTTGACTTTTTTGCTTTATTACAGTCAGGATTATTACCAAATATGGAATTTCCAAATACTGTAAGGATAGACAATCTAGAAATCTTTTAGAA